CGATTAATACGCTTGTTATTAATTCGGCTCATTCACGGTAGTAAACTTGGATTATCAATGCATGCGTCTCATGGTTAATAATCTAAGGGGAATTAATTATGTTGATTAAACCAATAAACCGCTTGTGTTGAGGTTATCAATCTCAATCGTTTTCATCTTGATTTTGTTGCTACTATCGGGTTGATATACGGCGCGTGTTCTATATTCACTCGGTAGTAAGTTTTATTAATGAACGCGTCTCGTTATTAATAACTACCCTCGATGAACTGGATATAATCCTCGATTGAGTATTCAAGAGGAAGATAGTTAAAGATATAACTAGGATCGATGAACATTTCATTAAGTGGATAAAAGCAAAACCAAGTCTTCATCTCTATTAACTAAAACACATACGTCGTTCATCTTAGTGTTTAAATATATTTAAATTCTAAAAACAATCTAAAACCCCCTTGTTACTATTTAATTAAAAGAGAAGTATTCTTTTCCCGGTGGATACGAACCTTACTTCATTATACTACGTATAATTGTTGTATTGATATTTAGTTTGAGTGCACGTCATATATCATTATATCCCACAAGAATGTTCAGATCCGAACATTCGGACCTGAGGCGCCGTCCGAACACCGCCGTTGGGGGCGGTTCCCGGTGGAATTTTTTGATGAAATTTTTATGATATGTTTTTTATCAAGTCTAATTTATCCATAACAAATTTCATCCCAAAATTCGATCGGGAATGTCTTCAAATGATTTTTTGAAGTTGACTGCGTTTTTCCATGTATAATTTGGCGCAGTCAACTTCAAAGTTCGGATGGTGCCTCCTGTCCGAACGTTCGGACAAGATAAGTTCTCTTATATCCCATATAATTATAACACTATTAGTTTCCAAGGCATCACTTATTATTTGTAAAATATTAAATGAGGTTTCAATTCCTAAACATGACTGCATGAGTAGTATAATAGCTTATACCCCAACTTTGTCATCTTTTTTTTTATTGTTTAAAATGTTTTGCCGCACTCTCTTTTAATCAATAAATTAATTTGTGTTTTCTATTATTTTTTTTCCTCTACACAAATCGTAATTACACATTTTTATTATTTCCCGTGTCAGTCACAATTGCCAAAATTTTAAGAGACGGTGGGAGTTATAAATTAAAACTTATGAAAATTTATTGCACTTTAAGTTTATTCGAAAAAATGGCATGCTCAAATATTAGTATGCTTATTTATATCTCTCATATTAAATTCGTATGTATAGAATGTTCATGCACTCGCAATACTCTCGTGCAATAGAAACGATAAAAGTATGAATAAATTTTGTATAACTTCTTGTAAAAAAGTGTTCGATGTAACTCATGTTATATTTATATGTAAATGACCATATACAACAACAACATTCAAGTCTTTGTTCTAAAAGATTTTGGAGTCAGTTAACATATACTAATACATAATATCGGAGTCAAAAGGAAAATAAAGATAAGAATGTTTTTTAAAAATAAGGTATAATAAAAAGAAGATAAAAAAGGTAAATAAAATAGAGATAAGATATACTATCGTACATAAAAATGATAAGATAAAAAGGATAAAAATAATATATATACTCCATATATAAAATAAAAAAAATAAAAGGATAAAAAATATAAGAAAGAAAAACAAGATACATGGAAAAAAAGATGATAAGAGATCATCCGCCACACAAATACCTACCATCCACTTTACGCTCTTCAAAGTCATACCCGCATTCAACCCAAAAAGAAGCATATGTAAGAGATGTTAATATAATTATATAAATAATGTATATTTGATGTATATGTGATGCATAAGTTTTAAATGATATTATGAATGTGATGAACTTGTAAGTGGAAGTTTGACTCATCTAGGCGTTTGACTTTGAGGATTTCGTCCCTCCACTGAATAAAAATTCCAAAAAGCGTTTCGCTCTCCTTCTACTAAACACAAGTGAGGTAATTGATGTGATTCTTCTGAGTGATACCATAGGCAAAGTGTGCTAGAAAGAATTGAGACATTTCCTCGAAACTCGCCCGGCCTTAGTAGGAGTGGACTCGGGCCGGGCCAACCGGCCCGGAACCGGACCGACCCGCTACTGTGCAGGCCCGGACCAGCCCGATGAACCGGTTGGTGTCCGGTTCGGGCCACCCGGCCCAATGAGGTAGGCGGTTCGGGCCTGGGCCTGCTAAATAGTGAATCGGCCCGGCCAATTCAGGCCCGGCCTTATGGCTTCCTTAGGCGATCAAACCATTCCTCTGTAGGGCCTTGTAGAATGTTGATGGACATCCTTCATATGGCTTCCTCCGGGGCTTCGAGCAACATTAAACCTCATTGATAAGATATGAAGTGTGCCTTAGGGCCGCCCACCCCGTCATAGGTGAGGTTGGCAGGTTGCCTCACATTCTTCACGATGGCGGCCACCATAATCCGGGGAGTGAACGGAGATGTGATGCACATCTTGCTGTCTATCAGGGAGAAGCCCACCTGCTGGGCCAGCTCCTCAACCCATCTCTTCAAGGCTACCATGGCCTCGTTCGGGGTGACCACGCTGGCATTAGTGGGTATCACCGCCGTTTTGGTCCATTTGGATAGAGCCGTGCAACCCTGGTGAGACGCGGCCTTGCTAGTAGGGATGGACCCGGGCCGGTCCGGTTCCGGGCCGGGCCCGGGTGGGCTTTTTTTGAAAATACTTGAGCTCGGAACCGGCCTGGGTTGATACCGGGTCCGAGCCTGACCGGGCCGAGCCAGGCCGGGCCCGGTTCAATGTCTAATTTTTTTTTTTTGCTTTCTTGTTATCCCCCGACCCCCCCCCTCACCCCACCCCCAAACCTCACTAAAACACCCAGCCCTACCCTAGGAAAAGAAAAAAAATTGAAAAAACAAAAAAAAAAATATGACCCGGGCTCGGCCCGAACCACCCGGACCGGTTCCGGCAAAAATTGGGCAAAGCCCGACCCGCCTGACCCGCCCAAACGGGCTAAAAGCCAAGAACCGGCCAACCGGTCCCGGTCCGGTCCGGGCCCGCACAGTAGCGATTCCGGGCCGGGCTGACCCGGTTTAGTCCATCCCTACTTGCTAGCATTAGTGCCTGCTGCCCTCATGCCTTCACCTCCCATCTTCTTCTTGTTCCTGTCACTCGGGGTGGGCTCTCGGGAGGGGTTATATTCCTGCTTCCGGGAAGCTATCATGGGGGTTTCAGTGTATGTTGCTCAGGTAGTCATTCTGCTCACCGAACCCCTGAAGCGTTCATTTGCTCCTTCTCATTCTTTCGAATGCTGACCTACGTTGTTTCCCTTTGGACTCAACAATGGTAGTCTCCAGACACTGAATCTTTTGGACAAGCATGATCGACATCCGACCGACAGCAGACGAGGCCCCTTTGTCTCATTCTTCTAGATCTGCAGACATAAATTTTCTTCTTCGCCGTTGCTTGCACTATCCCGCCGCCATCATCGTTGGTCTTCTCAACAATTGGTTAAACTATAATCGACCGGCGACGAGGATCAAGTCGTCTTCCTCGATGGCCGCCACTGGTGGATCAATCATCCTCGACGAAGCGCCACCGCTGTTGGATCCGTCATATTCGATGGAGTTACAGTTACACGCCGGTGGCGGCTAGGGTTATAGGATGTGGCGGCGATGGAGGGTAGGGGTGACGAGTGGTGGAGGCGGGCTGGCCGAGATGGGCTTTGGGAGCCGTGGTGTGCGGCGGCTGGAGCTGTGGTGGTGTGATGCGATTGTGCAGGGGCTTGGGGAGGGTGGCTGGGGGATTGGGGGAGGGTGGCTGGGGGCTGGAGACAGCTGTGGTGGTGGGGTCAGGGCGGTGTACGGGAAACTGCTATGGCGGTGGGATCAATGCGGTGTAGGGGGAGACTGCTATGGCAGTGGGGTCAAGGCAGTGGGCGGTGGATAACGGGTTTCATTGTAAATTTGTTTGAAAATCATGTCATTGTATAACTGCAATCGACCGGCTAATTCAGATAACTTAAACTAGTTAAATTGGGTAACTATAAACGGACGATTTAATCGGGTAACTATAAATGGGCGATTTAAGTAATTGTAATTGGCTGGGCAAAGTCATTGGTCATTTGGCGGACGGACGGACATGGGTCGCTAGCACGGGATGATCAAATATTAGTCGGACGGGTGAACATTGGTCACTGAACGGACGTACGTTGGTCACTCCTGGACGAGCATAACTAGGACGGTGACGACTAAAATGATAGTAACTGGGACAGGACAATGCTCACTGGTGCAGTAGTAACTGAGATAATGGTCACTGGTGCGGTAATAACTGGGACAGTAGTCACTAGAGTGATAGTAACTTAGACGATGTCACTGGAGTTGTAATAGTAACTGGATCAGTAGTGACTAGACCGTTAGTAACTGAGACGATGTCACTGGAGCGGTAATAGTAACTGGAACGGTAGTAACTGAGACGATGTCACTGGAGCAGTAATAGTAACTGAGACGGTGTCACTGGAGCTGTAATAGTAATTGAGACGGTGATCACTTGAGCGATAGTAGTAATTGAGAAGGTGATCACAGAAATAATAATAATTGAGACATTGGTGACTGGGATAGTTGTAACACAATTTTCATATCCTATTATTTATATTTAGAAATAATATTCAAATATTAAAATAAAGAAAATATTAAAAAAACAAATGTTAAAATAATATTTTAGACGTATAGTGTTACGGAGGCATTGAAATAATAATAAATTAGAAAAAACGTTAATTATGAAAGTCTTGGGCGGCATTGGTAGTTTGGCACGGTGCTCAAAATTTAGTTAAGGGTAAATTAGTAAAGAATATGTTTCTTAGTCACATTTTTGGAAATTAAGAAAAAAGGTCTCTTTTGTGTCCATTAGCTATTTTTTAGTAATAATTGTGTCAAAACCCCTATTTCTATTTCTATATTTTTAAAATTTATGACTTGTAAATTTATCAATTTTCTTAATATGTTTTTTTTTAAATGACCTATTATAGCAAGTCAAGATGACATATTAATAGTGTTTCCAAAGTTAGTATGTTTATATGATACTCATTAATGGATTTGAAATAGTAAAATGGTCTATTCAAAGTTTTTTAGTATCTTTTGTTTTTATTGCAAAAGATAAAGGCAAATAGTTAAAAGGTTATATCTCTTCACTAGTCACAACAAGTGTCCTAATACAAGGGCTGCTTCATTTCTTTTTCAAGTCTTCAAGTGCTCAATGGCAATCACATAATATTTGGTCAGCAATGGGAAATTCAGGAACTATGTCCACGGGAACCTACATAAAAACAAGGGGTAAAAGTAGAAGAAATATGCTAAGCAAACAACCCTTTAGATGATGATAAAATAATAGTAAAAAGGGATAATATAGATAGTCAGACCTAAAATAAAAATAAGTAAAACATACGTAGTACTCAAAGTGTAAAATAGGAGATACTGTTTAAAATTCTCTAAATAGGAGTAATAATTTGTGATTGGACTAAAACACCCTTCTTGGGGTTCAAATTTGGTCACCAAACTCCTGAACCTGCAGTCGTTTGCCGTCACATGACTGCTACCGGACTTTCGTGGCCATCACCGGATTGCGCTAATTATGCTAGGGGAATTAGGGGGCAATTAATTATATTAAAGGTAGAAATGTAATATTTAATCTTCTTTAGGGAATATAAAATATGAACTCCTTTCTAAGAATTTTAACCATATTTTAGTTTTATTTAGGGCACTTTCTCATTAAAACTGAGACGTATACCTTTTTTCCTGTCATTGTCTGTATTCATCTACCATGCAGCTTGTCACTACATCACCCTCCTTTCGTTTAGATATAGGAAAATGAGTAAGGCTCTCATCCATTAGTACTAGTGAGGGCCATTTCATTTGGAGACTAAAGGGCAATTCGGTGTACTTTGGCATCCCTACAAGGTCAGGGTTGGAGAAGGGTTTCACCCTCCGCAATGTGAGGGTTGAAGGGTCCACCACACAAGAGTGTATAGGGAGCAAGCATTCCCTACTAAAATGCCTACACCACACGTCCACACCACAAACCACAACGGCCCTCTCCTCAAACCACCACCCCCGCAATTCTGTCTGCATTCCTAAAAAAGATCATGGTGCATTTTATAAACCATAAAGAATGTTCAAACATGAGGCTTTCTCATCCCAGTATAAAATTTGCAACCTTTGACTCCCTAAATGCAGACATTTCTGACTCTGCCATAGGATGGGCGCAGGGGCAAATCTAGGCATGGATCCGGTCCGGCAGTCCGCCCGGTCGCCCGGAACTGGGTCCAGTACTATTTGGGCCTGATAGAGACTGCAGAATTTGACAGTAAATTGACGTAGATTAAGAAGGGAACTGATTAAAACTGAAAAAAGAAAAATACAATTGAGACACTTCGAGTAGTCTCAACACTCCCAAATCCATTCTTTCCTCTTTCCCATTCTTATAGTAATTATATTCACAAGGATCGGCCCATATTTCCTGACATGGCGCAACACCCTTATTTATACAATATCACACTACTTAGTATAATTATATTTTTATTATTAATAAAATCAGCCTAGGTTCCTATCACTTCTCCCCCCTTAGATAACCACCTTGTCCTCAAGGTGGGTGATAGGAAACAGCCTTGACCAACTGCTTCATCCTTGAGCCTCTCCCTTCCCAGTACCCCTGATTGCTAGACCCTGAGCTTCATTACTTGACCTTTCATCTTCACTTCTTTCACCCTTGGAGTTCCACTCCATCCCCGTAATTCCTGCATCTCACTCTGAAGGATTACCCTGATATCAGGATAACCAGAAACTTCACCAACAACTTTAATGTCATCCTTTGGTACATCCTTCAACAACAGTATCAGAAGATCTAATGAACCAACTATTAAACCTTTAAGCTGCTGTTGTGGTTTAGTCATCACTTGCCCAACATAAGGTAGTATTCGAAAAATCAAAGGCTGGATGCAACCATGAGTTGTTTTTATTTCCTCAAACTTCTAGAGCATTAATGCTCGCAAAAAGGTCTGCCTTAGTAGTAACATGTAATGTCTCAAGCACCCAATGCATAGTTTCATCAGATGTATGCTCAACTAGGTTGGTGAGTGATGAAATTAAGTCATGGATATGTGGCTAAATAACTCCAAAGTCTGCATCAGTTTCAAGCTGTTAAGGTGCTCGACGAGCACTTGCTTTTACACCCAATCATCTGACTCAAATTTTGTCTTATGGAGTGTACTGACAAGACTTGTCTCTCCATCAAGACTTGCCTATTGCTATCAGAAAGGGAGTAAGGGAGTGTACTAAGCACCCTATCTATAATTTTGTATGTTATAAGAAACTATCGGCAAACTATCAAGCTTTTATTTCAAAGATTGATAGTATTCAGGTTCCTAGCAACATCACGGAAGCCCTTGAACATCCAGGGTGGAGGAAGGCTGTCCATGATGAATTAGCAGCATTGAAGAAGAATGGAACTTGGGTGCTTACAGATTTGCCTGCAGGGAAGAGAACTGTGGGTTGCAAATGGATATTTACAGTTAAATATCAGGCTGATGGAAAGATTGAAAGGCTGAAGGCAAGGCTGGTTGCTAAGGGGTTCACCCAAGCTTATGGCATTGATTATTCAGAGACATTCAGAGACATTTGCACTAGTGGCAAAGTTGAACACCATTAGAGTATTGTTATCACTTGCAGTGAACCTAGACTGACCATTACATCAACTAGATGTTAAGAATGCCTTTCTTAAAGGGACCTAGAAGAGGAAGTATTCATGGATGTACCACCTGGGTTAGAAGACTTGGTGAAATCTGGCCAGGTTTGCAGATTGAAAAAGTCTTTGTATGGACTAAAGCAGTCTCCTAGAGCATGGTTTGATAGGTTTACAAGATCAGTTATTAAACAAGGGTTCATGCAATGTTAGGCAGACCATACACTATTTGTAAAGAGGGCAGATTCTGGAAAATGGCTGTTCTTATAGTATATGTTGATGACATTATTATGACTGAGGATTATAAGGCTGAATTGGATAGACTGAAGGCTCATCTAGCAAGAGAGTTTGAGATCAAGGAACTAGGCGAGTTGAAGTACTTCCCGGGAATGGAAGTGGCAAGATCTAAGAAAGGCATTTTCATTTCACAAAGGAAATATGTCCTAGACTTGCTAAGTGAAACTGGAATGCTTGGGTGCAAGCCTATCGACACTGCTATGGATATATCAAAGAAGTTAGGCAGTGAGACTGAAAGTCCACCCGTTGATAATGGTAGATATCAAAGGCTGGTTGGGAAGCTAATCTACCTATCTCACACACGGCCAGGCATTGCTTTCTCGGTAAGTGTGGTAAGTCAATTTATGAATGACCCAGCTGAGGAACGCCTAACTGCAGTCTATAGAATTCTGACGTACCTGAAAATGACCCCTGGAAAAGGATTGTTGTTTCAGAAACAAGGGACAAGGAAGATTGAAGTGTTTACTGATGCTGACTGGGCTGAGAGCCTTTTAGACAGAAGATCAACTACCGGTTACTGTACTTATGTATGGGGTAACTTAGTCACCTGGAGGAGCAAGAAACAATCGGTGGTTTCGAGAAGTAGTGCAGAGTCCGAGCTCAGGGGTTTAGCAGAAGGAATCTGTGAAGGATTATGGTTAAGAAGATTGATTAATGAGCTCAAACTTCCATTTGAAAGCTCCATCCAAATCTCATGTGACAACCAGTCTACTATCAGTATTGCTAAGAATCCTGTCCATCATGACAGGACCAAACACATTGAGATAGATAGAAGATTCTTATCAGAGAAGATTGCAGCAAAGGATATCCAGCTGAGCTATGTTCCAACCAGGCAACAAATAGCTGATATACTCACCAAGGCACTTCCCAGAATTCAGTTTGAAGACTTATCCAACAAGTTGTGCATGGATGATATCCATCACCCAGCTTGAGGGGGAGTGTAGATTATTACAGATTGTTCTAATTACTCACCCGATTGAGCATTTATGAGGAGATATCTTAGAGATCTCAGAATCTCTAAATATCCCCAATTATCTTTTCTTTATTAGGGAACCTTAATTAGGAGGATTCCTTCCTTATTTCATTTTTCTCTAGCTATATATATTATGTATTCTTCTCCTTGTATCTTGCAGCACATAATAAACAGAATACATTTTACTTTCTCGAGTTATTTCTACAGTTTTCTATATATATGTAGTTGTACTTCATGTAAAGAGTGTACTATCAACAATAAAATTCAGAAAACTTCATGGTATCAAAGCCTAATCTCGTCTAAGCCTCTTTTGAGTCTATCGCCTCTCCAACAATTCTTTTTTGGGTGTCTCTACCCTTCTCTCTCTTTAACTTGCGGTGGAATATCTTCATCAAGGGTTTTATCATGTCTAAAGAAGCAGAATCAGCCTCAAGTCACCTTGACCACTCAACCATTGTTTCAGCTGCTACTACAGCTGCGGTTGCCTTTCGAAACCAGGAATTTGACCTTCCTTCTATCCTGCCATCTTACCATTTTAGTGGCAGAAACTATCTTGGATGCTCAAAGCTGGTTTACACTCCTTCGTGGCAAAGATTTTGAAATATATCTCACTGCCTCTTCACCAGAAAAAGGAGATATTGATGCTGTTATTTGGGAGAAAACCAATGCCAACATATGAGTCTAGTTATGAGACTCTAAGGGTCCCAACATTAGCACTACATGTTTATACATGGACTCGGCTAAAGAAATCTGGGATTTCATAAAGCAGTCCTACTGCGTTGCTAAAGATGGTGCTTTGCCTATGACTTATGGCTTCAAACAACAAATCTTAGGCAAGATTCGTAATCTATCACAGAATGTGCTACTGACCTCCAACGACGATCGTCTGAACTTGACCAGTATCAAACAATGAAGTGGTCTAATGCTGCACACGCAACTCTTCATAAGAACTATATAAACCAGAACGTCTGTATTGCTTCTTGTCTGGTTTAAATCCAGAAAACAATCAAACCCGGTCTCAACTTTTGGCCATTACTCCTCTACCAACCCTATCTTCTGTCATTGCCACTATCAAACATGAAGAGAGTAGACGTAATATAATGATGAATACTAAACTTGGCTGTCAAGTCTACTTCTTTGGCTTCTTCGGATGATAAGAGAACTAAAAGTAGTACGGGAGGAAGATGGTGTGAGCATCGTAAGTGGACCAATCATAATGTATTGGAAGCTTTATCCTCATCTCTGGAAAGAAAGAAAAAGTCAGGATAGACGGGAAATTAGCGCAGGATGTGCTAACTCAGCCACTCCT